CCCCAGAACACCAGACCACAGGTTTTTGTGGTCCCCCGGCATACCAGAAGGACTCTCCCGGCAGTTTTGCTGCAACAGCTAGTTAATAAAACTTGTTACTCAGCTCACTGAGACCCGCCCCCGTGTTGCCAACCAACGCCATCTTGGAGCAGAGCAAAGCGCAGGCGCAGTTTTGTTCTTTCCCAAGGCGGGAGCCCTGTTCCAGCTTGCTCACCAGGGCCTGATACAGAAGCCTTGCTATTTCACTGTCTCTAGAGTTCCATAACCTTGTAGTCTGAGAAATGCTGGCGATGTCTTAACGTCTGAGGAATAGAACTGCTGCACTGGGGCCGGTTCTGTGGTAAAGCCGCTGCCTGCGTGTGGCTGCCTGCTGTGCCGGGCATCACATATGGGAGTGGCTTGGAACCGCTGATCCACTTCTGATCCAGCTCCCTGCTAGTGTGTACCAGTGGTTTTCAAATGCACTTTCTGACACGAGGGCCAGCTAGCCTGGACGAAACTTGTTCTGATTTGAGGTGAAGTGAACATAACAAAGAACACATATGTGTTCGCATTAAGGAGGACAGTTTGCTTTCTTGGTAGAAACTGCCTCTTATTCTGCAATTTTAGCTTTCCTAGATTTATATTGGGATTTTTTATAATATTCTTTCTTTTATAAAATGATAATGATGATTGGTGATAAGTCACTCTTTGATGCATTTATTTAGGAAAAATAAAAACAGAAACGTCAGGGACCAGCGCTGTGGCATAGTGGGTAAAGCCACTGCCTGTGGTATGGGCATCCTGTTTGGGCACGGGTTCCAGACCTGGCTACCTGATTTCCGATCCAGCCCCTCGTTAATGCACCTGGAGGATGGCCTGAGGGCTTTGGGGCCCTGCACTCATTCAGGCGACTCAGAAGAACTAGGGGCTCCTGGCTTCAGCCTGGCCCAGCCCCTGCCATTGTGACCAATTGGGGAGTGAACCAGTAGATGGAAGATCTTCTGTCTCTCCCCCTCTCTCTATAACTGCCTTTAAAATAATAATAATAATAATAATAATAATAACATTAATAATATTAAAAAACAGAAAGTCAGCAGATGGAAGATCTCCCTCTCTCCTTCCCCTCTCTCTATAACTCTGCCTTTCAAGTAAATTAAATCATCTTTAAAAATAAAAAGTAGAGAAGTCAATCCTTTACTTAGTAAGTCATGAAGGACTCAGAGCCTAGGAATCACTAAGATAGACTAGTGAATTTATTCTATGCCTCTGTGGGAACCTTGCTTTTGATAGAAATGTGCCTTGGATATTGTTACAAATGCTTGTGTTCCCTTGGGGCCGGTGCTGTAGCTTAGCAGGTAAAACCTTTACTGGCCTCCTGCAGTGCTGGCATCCCATTTGGACAAAGATTCAATTCCAGGCTGCTCCACTTCCGATCCAGTTCTCTGCTATGGCCTGGGAAAGCAGTAGAAGATGGTCCAAGCCCTTGGACCCCTGAACCCATGTGGGAGACCCGGAAGAAGCTCCTGGCTCCTGGCTTCAGTTTGGTGTAGCTCTGGGCATTGCCACCAACTGGGGAGTGAACCTGAGGATGGAAGATCTCCCTCTCTCTCTCTCTCTGCCTGTCCTTCTCTCTCTGTTTAACTCTGACTTTCAAAATAAATAAATAAATCTTAAAAAAAAATGCTTTTGTTCCCTTAGAACTCAAAACCCTCACCTCCACTGTGATGATATTAGGAGGTGGACCCTTTGGGAGGTGATATGAAGAGACAGAAGAGCTTGTGCTCACTCTTTCTTCTCTCTGTGGTGTGAGGATACAATAAGATATTCAAACACACACCAGGAAGTGAACCCTCACTAGATAGCAGATCTGCCAGTGCCTGGATCTTGGAATCCTCAGCATCTAGAACTGTAAGAAATGAATGCCTGTTATTGCAGACCCACATGAATGAGACAGAGAAGAACTGAAAGAACCTCAATGAGAAAGAAGGGAATGAACATGGAATGTGGGATCAGGCACTATATGTTATAACATGCCATACAAGTGTACTTCAAAAGTTTGTGGGAAAATGCAGTTAAAAGAAAACTTCATTTTTGAAGTCCATGCATAAATTTTTCTGACATATGAATAGTCCATAAACCTGTTCGAAGACCCCTTGCTTATAACCTGAAAGTGTTAAGGGTAAGAACCAATGAAGAAGACAGAGGCTTTCGGACATGCAGTAGGTTAAATGGAGAGTCCTACGTGGATGGGTGGCTATATTTTCAGTAGTAGTCAATGCTCAAAACATTTTATGCTACTCATGGATACATGTGTCTGTGTTTGGAAGCCTTGCATGATGCTGCTCTTTGGATTAATATTTCTCTCTTGTGTAAATGCTGTATCATTTCAAGTGCAAAACTTGAATATAGTATGATACGTTATGATTATACTATAGAATGTTTACATATCTTGAGTACATTGTAATAGACCATTATACGTTCATACTTATATGACAACTATTATGTATTTTTTATTCTTTATTAACTTTTCATACTTTCATTCCATAGCAACTTAATTGGCAGAACCACTGACCTCATTTTACAGGTGAGAATTGGAAGCTCAGAGAAGCTAGTAACTTCATCAGCTACTAAGTGGCAGAAAGAATTACAGCCCCTGTGGTCCAACTTCAAAGCTCTGCTCTTAGCTACTTTGCTGGTCTGTTTCACCACTGCATTAGCGTTCAAAGCTCATTCTATAAAATTCAAAATACTATTTAGTCTTTTATACCACATTCTGCACTCAGGCAGCTTCCACTGACCCTTTGGAGGAAAACACAAACTTTCCTGAAACACAATGAACACCACCAGGACACGACTAAGAGTGCAAAGCAAATTCAGAAACTTGAGCATAAATCTCTTTCAAAATAAAACCACAGCATCTTTAATCAAGGCCTGGCAATCATCGTATCATTTCTCTGAGACTGGAATTGGTAAATGTGGGCTATCCCACCAGGCTTTTAATACTTGGTTAGAAATGAATCCAAGAAGTTGACTAGCAAGACAATTCATGCAGTGCAAACACGATCTGTAATTCTCTTCCCCATTACCACAAAACACAGTTAGTTCCTGCCCTGAATTCACTTTGAAGACAATGAATGCCTGGGAGAAACCATAAGAGCATTGAAAATGGGGCCAGAAGTAATAAATACAGGCTGCCAGAAAATGTTAATGGGTTTCTTCTACCAGTCAAATCTATTGTCAATGTATAACAATTCTGAAGGTTGGACTGGAGTGCTGCAATCATTGAGCTAACATGCAAGGTTTGCCTACAATGTAAAACAGTTTTCTTTCACCTGTATAAAATTAAGCAGCTGATAATTACAACTCCTGGTACAGGGAGATTAAAATAATAAAATAAACATAAACCAAATGCTTTAATATAGAATCTAATCTCTCCCATTATCCCAGCACATTCGCATCAACTCTGCTCCAATGGAATTCTTCTCACGCAGCAGGACGAAGATCATCTTCTCAGCAGCCAACTCAGCAAGGCAAGCCACTTTCCTCCCTTCCTGACTTCCCCCCTTAGAACCCATTCAATGAGAAGACAAAAGACTTGCAAGTGGATGGGAGCTGTTTTGTGCCTGGCCCTTAGGGGTACTTTATTTTTCTTAAAAAGATTATCTCAACCTTACTGTAGCCAAAAAATAAAAACAAAACAAAACCCTAAAACAAACTTCTGAAGAGGTTAAAAATACAAAGGACTAAGATATATCTTTAATTTATTCATAATTAGTTTACAGATTGGACCACACAGAGACTCCAAAATCAGCAAGCCACTTAGGGATAAAGACTATTTCAATTATCAGAAGCAAGCCAAATGCTACCTTTTGTTCTTACTAAAATCTCCTGCTTTAAACAACATCTCCTAGAAAATGATTTTCTATTTCCTATTTAGAGGATTACATAGCAAATGTGACTAGTGGCGGCAGAGCAAAGAACTTTCCATCGTTTTATTACCTGCCAAATATAAATTAGTTTGTTGTGGTCAATTCTTGCCAGGAGACTCTTTTCCCTGTTGCCTATCAGGCCAATGGGCTATAGCGGGTTGGTTCTTGCCCCAAGTCCTTCCTAATCAGGAGGCTGTGAGATACTGCCTGCCCACTGTCTCCTACATCTTGTGGCAGCTCTTGTGTCCTGGAGCAGCAAGGTTTTGAGCTTGAATTTCCCCAGTAACTAGCTCGGATTGCTTATGCAAGCCATTACTGCCAAATCTCTGTGGGCATATGTGAAGCCTTCCTCCAGGTTTCATAGGTGAAGCAACCCTACAAATTTCACTTTATAATATAACAACAGGATACAGAAATTGTATTAGCTCCATTAGATGGAGTCATACAAATATTGGGAAAGGTTAGTGAATGTCAGTTAAGCTAAGAGAAAAAAAATCACCTTGTTTAACCTAGAGGGTTTCCTCATTGGTAACGCCTTATATTAAGGTGCCATTTATAAAGACTTTATTATTATTTATTAATGTGTGAAGCACTTTATAGCATGCTAGATAACAACTTAAATTCATGTATTAAAGATGTACATACATGGTTTAATACGATTTACGTCTTATGATATTCTTTTAAACAGCTTCCCATAGCCTCATCTGTTAAGCATTTATTACTAATGCATTTTATAACATACTTTATAATACATTATTTGAGCAAGTAGCTGCATTTAGTGATTATTGCATAAATAAGAATAAAGCATTTATAAATGGCACCTTAATTTAAAGTGTTACCTTCACATTACTAGATAGCTGCTCACCATTCATCTCATTTTGTGATTATTCTCCAAATGCACCACTTAATAAAACAGACACTAAGTTCTATTTTCCCTTCATCTGATTAAAAGTTTATTGAGTCATTTCTTCCATCTGCTTTCAGGCATTGGTAGCTTGCAGGCTTTACTGAGATTTCTGGTGAAACCAACCTTTTAATTCAACAATATTTCTGAAAAAGATGATAATCATAGAACAGAGAACTACCTACCACATTGGACAGAGCCTGTTGTTTGCATTCTTTGTAAAATTCAATTTTTTGACTTGACAGTACGACCCAGGAAGTAGACCAGTTTTTCCTTAGAAAAGAAAAAAGAGAAAAAAAGCATTATCAATTGAAGAGGTAATTAAAAATAAAGTATGAGTGATATTTGCAATAAGCAAAGCCTATATTTTAAATTAAAATTTTTAAAAAGATTTATTTATTTACTTGAGAGACATAGTTACAGACAGAAAGAAGGAAAGACAGAGAGAAGTCTTCTATCTCCTGGTTCATTCCAGAGCTGAGTGGATCTGAAGTCAATGCAGATGCAGGGATCCTTGCTCTTGGGCCATCTTCCACTGCTTTCCAGGCCACCTGCAGGGAGTTGGACAGGAAGTAGAGCAACCGGTGCCCATTTGGGATGCCAGTACTGCAGGCAGATGCTTAACCTACTATGCCACAGTTCTGACCCATTTAAACTAATTTTCTTAGAAGTCTTGTTTTCATTGAAATCTATAAGCTGTATGAACTTTGGGTAATATTGAAGCTCTTGTTTAATTTTGTAAAAGCATTGAATATATAGTAAAAATTTTCCAATTTGTAGATCCTCCTAAAATCTCTCAACAGCCAAAAAATTCAATTCTTGTGTATCCATGTTCTCCACTCATATAAAATATCTATGTTACTACAGCAAGCCAAAAATAGCAAAGCAAAACTAGGATTCAGAACCCCTTCTTTCACTGTTGCGTCTTTTCATTGAATTAACTTATTTCAGGGTCTGGAAAATGAACTCATAGGTCACTCCTTCTATCACAGTATTTTTATAACATTGTCTCTCACTAGAAATGAAAGATACATGAATAAAAACAGTAATATACATTTCCCTCTTTGCCCATCAAAATATCAAGAATTGAATGGAATAATTATATCTAGGGTTAATGAGGATGTAGGAAATGAATTCTCTCATACTCTATTGGTAGAAGTCTAAACGTGTATACATTTTCTGGAATGCAGTTTGATGGTAGATTTAACAAATATTTAAAACCATGTCCGTCTTCAGACTAACATGTACCTCCCTTTAAAATATAATTATTCTAATGAAATAGTCTCACATGTTTTAAGGTTATGTACATGAATCTATCATATATAACCAATTTCTTATTAACTCTGTACCAAGAAATTGGTTATATATAATAGAATCATGCAATTATATATGTATATAACGGATTCATATAATGGAAAAACGAAGCCTATACTTTATAAGAATACTGATGTGGGAAGATTTTAATGCAGATCATAATATAAAGTATGCTTGCAAGGCCAACATTCCATATCACAGTCCTGGTTTGAGTCTTGGCCACTCTGCTTCCAACTGCGCTGTTAATACATCCAGGAAGGCAGAGGAAGATGACTAAGTCCTCAAGGACCATGCCACACCTGTGAGAGAGCTGGGTGGAGTTCCTGGCCCCTTGTTTCAGCCTGGTCCAGATCTGGATACTATGGCCCATTTGAGGAATGAACCAGTGGATAGAAGATCCTTCCCTCTCTTCCTGTCTTCTCCTCCCTCTCTCTATTGTTCTGCCTTTCAAATAAGTCAATAAATCTTTTTAAAATTTATTTATAGTTCATATCACAATGCTGTGATATTTACCTTAGACTGTCTTCATCATCCCAGCCCCTTCCGAATATTAATTGCACTCCTCCAAAGTCTAAATGTTGCTTTCTCAAATGTGCCTTTTACAACTTCTTCACATATTATATTGTCAATTAAAAAATTAAGATCTGGAAGTGGGTTTTTAGCCTGGCATTAGGATGTCCTCATCCTGTGTTGAAGTACCTGGGTTTGATTTTGAGTTCTAGCTCTTAATTTTTGCCTTCTTCTTGGCTCAAGTGACTGGATCCCTGGCACTCACATGAAACAACTGGTTTGTGTTCCTGGTCCTGGTTTTATTTTTTTAAGCTAAGTTTTTCCCCCATATTTATTTGAAATGCAGACAGACACAGAGATGAGGATACAGAAACAGAGATCTTCAATCTGTTAACATCCCAAATGCTGGCTAAGCTGGGCCAGGCTGAAGCCAGGTGCTCAGAACTCAATCTGAGTATCTCCTGTGGCTGACAGGGATGCAAGTGCTTTAGCCATCACCTACTGCCTCTCAGGGTGTGCATAGAACAAGGCTAGAACTGTAAGAGGAGTCAGGCTATAAACCCAGGCACACCAACTTGTGGTGCAGGTGTCCCAACTAGTGTTAACTACTGAACCAAACACTTGCCCCAGATGATTATTTTTTGAGCAGAGATATGTCTGTCTTCTATCAAAAAAAATAGTATAAAGCACAAGAGAGAATCAGTAAATAATAAGGTGATTTGGGGTCTTCCTAGGTCATGTTTAAAGGGGCCAACTGGAGAAATGAAGGGATCTTGTCTTCCCTAAGCAGCTACCTGGAGTGCAGATGTACCTCTCATGGGTCAGAGGAGCTGGAGGAGAGGTTCAGTTCAAGAGTCCCAGGAGAGTGAATTTGACTCATCTGTCAAGCCTGGGGACTAGGAATGTACCCAGTCGAGTAAGAACTGCACCTTACCACTCACTGATCTACCAAACTGAATAGGCAGGAGAGATTGCCTGGCTCCTGGCTTTGGCCCTGGCCCAGTGATAGCTGTCATTGGCACTTGGGGAATCAACTAGTGGAAGTGAGAGTCCCCTCCCCCCCATCTCCATCTCAAATACATCAAAAGCAATTTATTTTATTAATCCCCAAAATGATTTTATCTTAACAGAGGATTTCCCAGTGCCTAGCACAGGTGCCTTGGGCAGAATAGGCACTAAATACATTTTTATTGACTCAATGATTAAACTTGGGCCCAGAAAAATGTCTGTACCAATAGGTAAATGAAATGTTGAAATTATGGCTCTTGATTTTCTTTTGTAATATTAGTGCCTTGAGCATTGGACAAATATTACTGCCATGGTTAGCATATATGTGTGTTAGTGTCACGAAGATTGCTCTTTTTTGGATGACAAAAATATTAAGGCGATTAATATACACAAGTTTCTACCCGTTACCTCACAATGGTAGAATGTGCTTCAGCTCAACATTCATTTCAAAACAATCGAATTCAGTTTACAAAAGTGGTTTAAAAAAGTTTACAGAAAGACTTTATCCTAGAAAACCACACAGAAATATGTTAAAAACGACTATTGAAGATCTTTGTGTAATTTATTTCCACTTGCCTGGTAGAATCTAGAGGTTTGATTGAAAGGACAACTTTGATTCAGTAAGGTTAATATTTACAAAAAGAATTATGTTGCCGTTACATGTCTGATGCTTTCTTGATGATACACCATTGTGTTAAAAAAGAACAGGATAAACACACTCACGAGAAACAGAATGTGTATTTTCCAACATACAAATACGAACACTATGTTCTTGGACCCAACTGAGCTTCAAAAACAAAGAGCCAATGTTTCAATCAAATAATGAAAAGATTTTTATAAAAAATGAAAAAAAATCACAAACATGTTTTCCCTCTGCCTTAGTGTTTATTTCTCCTCTTAGGTACACAGCAGCAGTAAGGTGAACCAAGTTTCTCATTATGCAGGACATAATTTAGATAGCCACAAACAGGGAAAAGAACAACAATGAGAACATCTTTTTTTGTTTGTTTGACCATATGTGGTCAATAGGGATGCAACACCTCTCACATGAGAAATCCATATTAAATCCACCTGTAATACCTCAGACTATATTTTTCATTTTCTGTGAGGGAGATAATATACCTTATTTGCTGTCTATCAACAGTAAGTCCCAGACAAATGGTTCTGATTTGAATCTGTTTCAGATTTTCATCATTTATAGAACTTGCTGGCAAAACTTTACCCTTCCTTAAACTTGGAACTGGTTACCACTGAAGTTGCATGAAATTCACTTATCTCATTGTTCTGTATGAGGACTTTGAACTGTAGCAAACTGTGTTCCTGTTAGTTGAATGAGATGAAGAGGATAGGAACTGTCGGTCTTGGAATCTTAGTACTACAACTGAGCTCCTAACCTTCCATACAGTAATATTCTGCTATAAATTTATAAACTACAAACACTGTTTTACATCTCAGAATAAAAAGTATTCCATCCTGTATATATATCTATACATATTTTTATTCAGCCAACAGTTGATGGACATCTGGGTTGAGTCCATATCTTAGTTATTGTGAATTGTGCTGCAATGAACATAGGGATACAGATAACTCTTTCATGTGCCAATTTCTTTTGGTTTGGGTAAATTCTCAGAAGTAGAATGGCTGAGTCATGCGGTAGGTCTATATTCAGATTTCTGAGGTATTTCCATACTGGCTTCCACAGTGGCTGCACCAGTTTACATTCCCACCAACAGTAGACCAGGGTACCTTTTCCCCCACGTCCTCACCAGCATTTGCCATTTGTTGATTTCTGTATGAGAACCATTTTAACTGGAGTGAGGTGAAACCTCATTGTGGTTTTGATTTGCATTTCACTGAACGCTAGTGATCCTGAGCATTTTCTCAAGTGTCTGTTGGTCATTTGAATTTCCTCTCTTAAAAAATGTGTGTTCAAGTCCTTTGTCCATTTCTTAACTGGGTTGCTTGTTTTGTTGTTGTTGAATTTCTTGAGCTCTTTATAGTTTCTGGATATTAACCCTTTTTCCAAGAAGTCTATTGCATGAATTTCATTTAAAAATGAAAAATAAAGGGTTCACTTCTGTGGCACAGAAGATTAACCCACTGTTTGCAGCAATGGGATTCCATATCCCAGATGCTCCACTTACAGTCCAGCTCCTTGGATAATGTACCTGGGAAATCAGTGGAAGATGGCCCAAGTCCTTCCTTAGGCCCCTGCACGCACATGGAAGACCTAGATGAAGCTCCTGGTCCTGGCTTTGGCATGGCCTAGCTCTGGTCACTGCAGCCATTTGGGGAGTAAACCAGCAGATGGAAGATCTCTCTCATTTTTTTTCTCTGTCTCCCTGTCTTGCTGTCACTCTTTCAAAGAAATAAAAAGATGTAAGAGTAAGAAAATGATGCAATAAACTTTCAGATGTTCCTCTTTCATTCCAATTTTAAGC